TCAGCCTCTGCGATATGAATAATGTATTTCAAACATACGGGGTTTACATACCAGCGAAACGGACCAGATCGTACCATAAAATAGAAAATAACTATTGTACAAGATTTAGCCAGATGTGACTGTAAATGTGGGAGGTAGTAATTGATAGACTGGGGATAACTCGAGAATAGTAAGTAGTATAGTAATAGTTCATAGATCAAAATAAAGCTTATGACAAGAGGGACACGAATCTGAATAGTTTAGTTACTTAACGATTATACAATAAAAATATATGTTTAGTATTAGTCCATAAATGGATCCCGACAATTAGCATCCAACATACTCGTATAGATGTAACACTAACCACACGATTATTTACTCTGTCCGTATAATGACTGAGAAGATTTACATTCAATGTGTAACACGCGAAGGTCAAAAATGACGAGCGTCTGGACAGAATCGGTATGGCATGACTCGACCTTGTGGGTGCGGTTATTCTATGTAACTTATCCTCACTCACATTAAATCTATTATTCTATCCCCAGCTCGAATGTGTTAAACATCATATCGTTGGTTGTCACAATACGAAGATTCAGTAAAGACAATGATGTGACTTCCTCGTAAGATCTTATAAGTGACATGAATGTCATACAAATAGATTTCAACAGTTACCATTCATTATTCTTATCAAGATATAATAATAAACGAAAGAATATTGTAAAATTTGGGACTGGTTTTCGAATTATTATTCTTTGTTGTTGTATAGCTGCTAAGTATCTGGATTGTTATAGTTGTGTTTTTCATTTATTATAAGCTTTTGGCTAACTCATTAGATACTGTTATACAGTTCTGTATTTTACAATATTAAAGATTCCCATTGTGTTCTAATAGCACCCTGTCACATTCACAACCACTTATGGCTCGTTTATGGCGTGATACAGTCCAGCATGTCTGTTTGAAATATTATAATGGACATTAGCAGCTGACTATTTGAACTCAAGGCAGGGTATTGAGAGAACCTTGGGAATAATGTTTCAGTAGGAATTTAGCTACGTCGTAGTACCTGGTTAGTAGTGCTGGTGGGGTACACTAAACTATGGAGGAAATAGTAGATGCGCAGTTAACAAAAATTATAATTAGGTTTCTTATAGGTGACTTGGCACTTGATATTGGCCATTCGTTTCAAGACACAACATACCACATGACCTCTATTGATCAAGTGTGATAGAACAGAGCCCTTCTAGAATAACTGTTGGTCCAAAGCCCTACTAATGAAGAAGAATTGAACGTGAGATTAGCTATCCTACTCTGTAAAGAAAGCCGTCACGAAAATATGCGAACCAAGAAAAAATAAATTATATTATGCCCTGGCAGTAGAACAGTATTTACTTAGAAGAGTTAAGATGTCCTCATGGCGAAAGTCGAGATTCTTAGTAATTTATATGGAAAACGCCCCTTCTGATAACCAGAACAACAATTAATATTAGGCACACGGAATGTCCGAACAGTGTGGAAGACGAGGAGGACCATTCAAATAGCCGCATAATTGTGAAGACACAATCACCTTATGCTTCGCAAAAGCGAGGAGATAGTTTGTGAATAACTTAAATATTTGCCTAACCCAGGCCATTGACCATATGTCCCTGTCAAACTGCAAGTATATACATTTACGCAAGTTGCAAATGCTGTTAGGATTTTGACTATAAATCTTTCTTCTCAATGGTCTTATTGTCTTTTGGAATACCTTATCGGTCAACCAATGAGATCATGATAATGACTGGGTCGAACAGGAGAACTGACTTTTCTGACTCCACCATAGTACTAGACTTTCATTCTATTTTTTATTATCTGAATGGAACACCGAAAACATTGACTTTGACCGAAGGTCAATATGAAACGCTAATGACACGTACTACTTAATACTATTAAGTAGCATAACACGTTTCGTAAGTTTATTTTGAAGTGAAGTCATCTTAAGAGACCGAACAACTTCCATTGCTGAAATGTTCGCATACATAACTTCATCTTCATATTAGTATATAACCTTGGAGTAAAGCCAGCTGAAAAGCGATATGCTTTGTTCAATAAATGACAGTATTTATGTTTTCAAGTTGACACTAACCTCTAAGGTAGTAGAATAGGAATCTGAAGATGTAAAAACTGACATATCTGGTCAGCATCATTGATGAACACGGTGGATCTGATTCAGATGTGAAGGCGCAGATCGGCAAAGCAAGAGCAGTATACTTACAATTTAAGAACATATGGAACTCAAAACAACTCTCTGTCAACTGCCAACACCAAAATCGGAATTTTCAATACAAACGTCAAACAGTTCTACTGTATGAGGCAGAAACTTCGACAATTACGAAAGCCATTATCCAGAAGATACAAGTGTTTATTAACAGTTGTCTATGAAAAATGCTTTGGATCCGTTGGTCAGATACTATCAACAACAACCTACTATGGGAAAGAGGAAACCGGATCCCAGTGGAGGAAGAAGCGCTGGAAGTGGATAGGACACATATTGAGAAAAGTACCCAACTGCGTCACAAGACAAATCCTCACATGGAATCCTCAAGGCCAAAGTAGGAGAAGAAGATCAAAGAACACGTCACCGAGAAGTGGAGACAGACAGAAGAGAGTGAGTTGAAGAATGCTGGTCGTCAGCCTATGCTCTATTGGGGGTAACAGGCGTAAGTAATGTATAGGGAGAGAGGAACAGAGCAAACAGTATTTCAAGACAGACAGTCCCCAATGAAAATCCTATTATCGATCGATAATAATTTGACCAGAATAATATAAATTCTACCTTGTTAAGTGTAATGATAAGAAAAGTCAATGTAGGTAGTTACAAGTAAGCAAACAAATAGCTACAACTAATTTCTTCCCATTTCAATGTATTTCTTATTTCTATGATGTCCCAATTTCTGACGTCTTATTGCCTAATATAGGTCACTTTTTTAGAGTAAATAAATAACTAGTTATAATTCTTTACTTATTGGGATATCACAAAAATAGATTCGTAACATTCTACCTAATGTTAAATTTATTTAAAGCTATCAAGTTCTTTTAATATCAGTATGAGATTGTGGAGATTATTAGGTTTTTGATTGAGATCATGAAACGATTGATGTTAGACCACTATTAAAAACCTGGAAGCACTGGGCAGCCGTTTCATCTTATTGTGGGACTTCTCAGCAGTGTGCATTCACGATCCCGCTCGTGAGATTCGAACCCAGGGCCTTCGGTCTCAGGTGCAAACGCTCAATCTCTAAATCACTGAGTCGACATTCAATAGTGTTAATGTCTAACCTTAACTGTGACCAGTGGAGCTAATCCGTGTCGGGTAGGGACAGGTATCTACCTCAGTACAATGGAAAATGGTCGCGCAATTTCGCTCTTTTAATAATCGAATCAAACTGTGGTTGGATCACTATACTACTTATTTCAAAACGTGAATAGCTTGAATGTTTAAATCGATTTGAAGACGACCTTGTAAATATTCTCTCCACAAACTGTCGAATATTGTATTCAATAGATATTATCAGTAGATGTCAATCTGAAAGACATTTCTTGCGGCAAATCTTTTCATGAGGAATAAGTTACAGTAAACTGACCAATCTAATGTATATGCCATTGTTCAACTGCTTCTGTGAAGCAAATTATTTATTTATTCGTTGAAGCTTCTTCTTTACCGTATTCAAAATCGTTTAACAAAAAGCAACATATATCATTTACATCCTCTATCCAGTAACATAGAGTAAATTCAACATTAGATAATTTCATTGATATGTTTCGTAAGATTGCTTTGAACACTTCAAAAGAATTACGTCTAAATCGATTTGGGATTGTAGAAGATTTAAGTATTCGGTTATATGTGATTAAAATTGTTGCCAACTCCAAACTTTGATTAACCTTCATCATTCCAGCTGATTCGTTTAATCAAATGAATATTCCCTACATATTTTTGACTGCTCTACTCACTATATTACTATTCTAACAATCATACAAATAGTATCCCTGAGAACAAGTGAGCACTAGATAGCTATTTATTATGGTATGTAATTCCTGAATTATGATTTTTGTTGGTGCCAAGACTTAAGTCAATCCATAACGAATGTCACATGCAAATTTCCACTAACCTCATAAATAAAAAATGTAATCATGAAATCACTAGTGACTTATTTTGAGATGAGTTCCTTAGGTTTTAATGATAAATTATGACTGACAAAGTCCAGACATGTCGAGAGTATAATAAACATTGCTTAACGAATTGACTACCGATAGGAATTGGTACTATCAGTCTGTAACTCAGTGTTCGCTATAAGACATGTAGGTCCCCGGTTCGAGTCTGAACGAGGTTATGGGTGAGCACTGCTACAGATCAGTTTACTCGAACAAAGTACCTTCCAAGTGCGCCCTAGTTTCCAATGGTAATCTAACTAGTAAATATGTGACGAATAATAAGTAATAGAGAAACAAATCACCATCATAACCTTACATTAAGAGAAAACAAAATTTTATAAATTAACAATTCACTACACACATACACCTTTAAAAATGACATTCAAAAGGACCGTCCCACTGAAATAACTGTCATCTGTATGTTACAATGCTTTCAGTGGATTAGGATGGAGTTGTTTTTTATACCGCTTACTCTTATTTAGATAGTTTATTGGCATAGTATTTACTAGGGTTAAATAAGGTCATCATGGCCAGTATAATCGTATCATACAGTCTTATAATAGGAGACTATTATTAAAAGTCGAGTATTTTATTGATTCGTGTACTCGACATCGATCCACACTTAAAATATGAGAGCTAGTGATACTACACGACAACCTAAACAACAGTAGTCGGAGAGGGTTTCGACCGCAAAACTTAGTGGATGAAAATCAGTTTGGACAATTGACTAACTTTCCTATTGGTTCAGCTAGAAAATGCGACTTAAATCCCATTACATGAACCTGTTCTACTCTAGTCCCACAATGAAATTGTATAATTGTAAAACAACATGATAAAGTTGAAAGTATTAATATATTTTTTGTTCCTTAGTAAGTTTAAGAATCAGACAAAGGAAGCACAAAGGAGGCAGAAGTAGTAGTAGTAGTAGTAGTGGTAGTAGGGATAGTAATGGTTATTATTTTTTTAATTATCACGGTATGTTTTTTGTGTCTGTGAAGAAAAAAACATTCACTTAAAGAACTAAAGAAATACGAATAATTAAGGTATTTTTCGCTGTCTGTTTTTTGTTGTTGCTTATTAAGAATAGTAATAATAAGAACAAACCAATGAGGACTCCCACAAGATAATTGTTAGGATAAAACAAAACAAAAACAAAAAAGAACGAAGCGCATAAAGGAAAATTAGTGACAATAATAACTAATGAATTAACAATCTAAAAAATTAGCAGCCATTAATAATTCTAATGAAATTTCAGGAGCAATAGGAAATTCTGGTATTTCACTTGAACTATTTGTATAACGTACTTTATAAGCGAAATAACTGCATACTTTTTGTAATACATGTGATGGTATTTCACGAAAATGTACAACATTTGTTTCATTCTCTTGAAATTGACCTGTATTAAAAAAAGAGATAGGATATTATTTAATATAATACAATAAATATTGATGTGAAAGCTAATGAGTTTTTTTATGCCAGCCAGTCAGTAATCAACAACAGTTCAACTTGCCACGCCACATTAGCACAAAGATGTAGGTGTCTATTCAACTCCCATAGTGGTAGAGGCGGTAAGAGTATAAGCAGTAATCGGAAACATTAGGGTTTGAAGATGTTATTCAAGGAGTATAATACAGTGAAATAAATTTGGAAAGAGAAAAAAGAGACAACAAGGAATCAGGAGATTAATATTTGGGAGAACACAAAGAGTGTATGCATCTGCGCCATTGCAAACGATTTTGAGCCATGTCATTCAGGGTATCTAACCATCGGTTGCTATCATCTCGTGGTCCCCAACCAGATAGTCTACACGTACCAACATGACTCAGTCCACTTGCCAGTGACTTCATGGACTTGTGCCATGTTTTTGTCTGGCCGCCCCTAGCTTTCTTCCAGCCTACTCCTATACCACTGAACATAGCACGTCGAGGCAGTCGGTCGTTAGGCATACATAACACGTGTCCCAGCCATCTCAACTGATGAACTTTCACTACTTAATCAATCGATTTTCCATCCTTATCCAGTACCCGTTTCCTAACAACTGCATTACTTACTCGATGGTGCCAGGATATACGAGCAATGTTTCGAAGACACCGATGATCAAATACTAGTAACCTACGAATATCCTCTACTCTTACCGGCCATGCTTCACTGTCATAAAGTAGGACGGAACGAACTGCTGCGCAGTAAACACGTCCTTTGGTTGATAGACGGATATCTCGCCTACGCCATAAATGACGCAAGTTGGTGAAAGCTAGTCGAGCCTTCTGTATCCGTGCTGAGATTTCGTCACACACCAGACCACAAGGGCTGATGCGACTTCCAAGATAAGTGAAGCGATCGACACGCTCAATTACTTCACTCCCTATCATTAGTTCGGGTGTCAATGCAACCCAATCCTGAAGCAACATTTTGCATTTCGAGGGAGAGAATCGCATCCCGAACATGCTTGCATCGTTGCTTAGAGTAGTCAGAAGACTCTGCATATTGTCAGCATCTTCATCATGATTAGCACGTAAGCCATCACATTGCCCTCCATGGGTCGATAAGGAGACCTGAAAGCTGCTGAGGAAACGCTTCTGGGACGAATTCTTAACAGGCTACGAATTTCTTAAATGTGAATACCGAAAAATCCGGAATATAGCAAAAAACAATAGTTGCGAGCTGCACTACTTACGAAGGATAGTTGGTATGCGATAGCCGTACTTGTCCAAATAAAGAACAAAACGTTAGTGGAGTCTTTCCAAACTCACGATGAGCGCTCAAGACGCCTGAACCTTTCCTGTCGTATCGCAGAATGCGAGGTAACCCTATATTGGCACTTCATATCTTTAAAAACGGTCTTATTTTGATGCTTCATCCAGACTAAAAATCTTCGAGGTCATAGCAAGAAGGTGCAAAACCTTGATATAATAAACTGTGTTCTGCTTCTCTATTTGAGTGTTCAATGACTGAAACGCCTTACTCGAACAAGTGACACCATCTTCATCGGTGAACATTCCCAGGAAGCTGAATTCTCACTGGGAGACAAGATGAAAGGATTAGCACATGTTTACCGGCCTTCTATCCTTATAACAGAAGACTGATAGGAATGCAGAGTTTTGAGCTGTTACGACAGATCCAAACGTCATGAGGAATGTTTGGTAAGTGTCAGAAATTGTATTGGAATAAGACCTTATAAATTATGAAAGAGGCGATAACACTCAAAAATTACTATGACGCAATATATCTCAATACTGCTTACAATAATGTACGGACGTTATGTAACCGGACCAGCCACAGCTTACAACTGCATGAATAATGTTTATGATAATTAACTAGAATTTTATGGTGAAAACGAATTTTAACTTAAAAAATATGGTGGTTAAATAAAAACAAATTAACCCACCTGGACCTGAAAGCATTGCTTTTATGGTACCACTCGTAAGAGCATGCTCTCGACGGACATAGAACTCATGGTCGTCTGACGATACGAGCTTTACATACATAGCATCTGCCCCTTCAGCACCCCCATACTTTTGTTCTGCACCAGCACTCGACTGAACCTCAGTCATCCCAATCAAGTAAAGCGCGAAAACCCAGACGCAAGCGGCGCGAGTGACCTTCAAGAAAATGGTTTCAAATGAAGGGGTGCGAAGTTGGATGAAGCCTACAGATTCGAATCTGTCAGACATAATTAGCAAATTGTTTGTTTCTTAAAACATGATTCTCTACAGAGAGGTTATGGAGAAGTGTGTTTGTCTTTATATTCCTCTTAGCGACTGAAGAACAGGACAATATAGATGTGAATAAGTTATCGAGGACTTGCACTTATAACAATCCCTCTTAGTACCTATATGAGTAAAGCAATCGTTCAATTTTCCCTTAAAAGATTCAAAAAATTGGTTCATTACCATAGCTATCAGTAGTCTCACAACTCACTGATTCAAGCTGCGGAAATCTTTGCTCAATTTTTTGTGCTAGTTCTCATGTTTTCTACATCGAGTAAATCTCCTCTTAAGTTCTACCTAGTACTGAAACATATCAGTGGTTTTTCTAAGGGCAGAGAGCTATGGGCAATATTACTATTGATGATGATATACCACATTATCCTTCCATGATACACTGGCTGTAAGATAAGGGCTTCTAGGCAAGTCGAGTAGGAGTAGTTTTCCAATTTGAATGCCTTTTTATTTTCACTTCTTTGAATACGCTCCATGAAAGTAGTACTCTTCTTGAGATAAGGGGATGTAAAACATCATTTTTACCCAGATGCGATTCTAAGTAAACTCCGAGACAATTTTGAATAATCCTATAGATAGGTTAACACCCGTTCTGGGGAAACCCCGAGGATGAATCTAATTTGTTGACTGAAGAATTTTCATGAGAAGAGACACTAAGAATATCCTAAACGTGGATAGGTTGGTCGTTTTTGGTGATGGAAAGTGCAATTCTAGGATCTTCTATGAATTAAGTGTTATATGGAGAATCATTTGTGTCGTTCACTAGATTTTCATAAGGAGCCTCCCTCAACAGTAGCAGTTCACGGTCTATTTCTTAAGGTCAGGGCCCAGAATACGTAAATAGAAATAAAAAGAAAGTTTTAATAAGTTATTAGTGGATGACATTTTGAGTTTAAGAAAGATAATCATGTTTTCTTAATAAGCTTTCCAGATCAATGTCTGAAATAAATTCGAACGTTACTTAATTCCATGAATAGACTACTGTTCTCTCATAAAAGCTATTCTTTAAAACAATCCCTTTCTGTTGGAATCCCAGTACTCCTTCTATAAATTTGTGGAAGTTGTTTGTTAGTGAACAGTTCGGATGATATCCAAGAGTTTGCGAAGTTACGCTTTATTACTGTACCTTTTCTGAATCTCCCAAATCCTATTTGAAAGAGGTCCAGTGTTTTCAAGCATTCATCACAGGAATTGAACGTCAGACATTGGAGTGATTCTGTTGTTTGGCTTTAGATATATATCTTAAATATTTTCCTTTTTAAAAGTGAAAAAGGTAACACTCTACATGAGGCCGGATGGAATTAATCTAAGTTTGCTGAAAGCTCTTATCACCAACCTGCAAAATAAGTCTTTAAGTCGCTCGTGCAAGGTCAACTTGGAAGGAATATTTGTCACAGAGAGCATGCGAGTCGAGGACGTTCCGTATATGCGACGATAAGAGCCATTTTGACCTGACGCCCACGTTAGGAATTGAAGTTACGAACGAGATTAAAACATAAGGTCTTAGGTTTTAAAAGAGAATTTTGATCGCGAAGATCAAGACTTGTCATCACCTATCGTTGAGATAGAACTCTTATTTCATTTTAATTTGTTAATTATTCTGGAATTACATTAAATTCCAGCTAATAATTCCAACGTAATTCTGCCTGGAACGTTTTTGGGGCTACTGCCAGTCTCAAGCCCGGATAAAGAGGGAGGGTTGGGCATAGTGTTAGTGATCACATCCCGTGGAAAATTAACTCTCTAAAAAACGCTAACCAGAAGAAATATCTCAATGTGGTTATATAAAAATAGTTGCAAATGGATCATCCATTAGTTCAGTCGTATCAACAGGGATAATAATTTCATGTGTTTTTGATGACAGATTACGCACCTTTGAAGAAAGCCACAAATAACAACACGAAAATGAGTTATTTTGTTAAACATTATAGTGTTACTAAGGGACCACTAATAAACGGAAAATCACAAAGGTCGGGATCAGAATTATAACAAGAAACGATGGACGAATTCTGTGGCCCATTGAATCGATCGTCTGCTAATTACTAGTGAGTCGGGCTATGACCATCTCCATTACCTCATATAGCCAGTTACAAAACCACGGAAATATGGGATGGTAATTCTTATCAACATTTATTTCCGACAAAACGGCTGCATGCTATGCTTACGTAAATAAATTATGATTTACTGCAACGGTAGGAGCATTGTAACGACTTTCAGTGGAAAACTGTTGGCGATATATTTGGATGCAAACCACTTTGGCACGTACCAAGAAAAACTACCCTTACTATTGATACGGACCGTATTAGTTGTGAAACATTACGACTAATCGTTACACAAGATTGGAAATTTAGAATTTACCCTCTACATGTGATGTTAAGGGTAATAAAAATATGTCGGCCGACTTGTTGTCACAGTCTGAGATGCACAAGCTACTGGTAACACAAATGCGAAGAGATGACGAAGTGAACATTTGGTTGGTAAGTCAATAAACATTGTTGAAATTAGAGATGCTACTCCTCACTGACACTGTGAACGTAATTTATCAGGTCGCCATAAGCCAGCCGAGAACCTTTATGCTGGTGACACTAAGATGGCAGACATCTGACAAAATGTGAAACACTTCCCACCTCGGTATATGAGCAACAATAAAATCAGTTAGCGACCTGCAGGTGACTTTAATTGCGTTGCAGCATATGACAACGTGTGCGAGAGTGTTTAGCGTACTAACGAGCTAACGTTCGGAAGTAAACAGTCATGCACAACTTAACAATTGCAGACCCGGAGAAGCAAATCGAGCACATGCACTCAAAAGCTTGTACCACCGTATCTTTCGAAAGGGTGGTGCACACAGACATATGTAGTTGGATTAGCCATACGATCCTTAGCTGTCGGGAGCAAAATTACACAACAAAATATTCAAACATACTCCGCGCTCTATTCAGGAAGATTTGGGATGAGGCAGAAGTGCCGACGGACTGGAAAGAAAGATATCTCATCAACATACCGAAAAAAAAGATAACAGTGAAAATGTTAGAACTGCAGAGAAATAACACTACTGTCAGTACCGGGAAACGTCAACAAAGTTTTACTGAATCAGACGTCAAGCTTCTAGATCAACAGGCCGAATTACTTTAGAGCCGTTCGTGCTCAAACCATGACGCGAAACTATGGATCATCACTGAACAATCAGTTGGGTAAAACTCGTCACCATGCATCAACTTCATGGACTATTAGTAGGTATTTGACCACATGGATAAGATAACCTTGTCGAACCTTCTTCGACATACTGGATTGAGTAGCTGAGAAGAACATCATCATCCGGAATTGATAAGACGGACTAAAATGCAAAGTTATGCATGGAGAACAGCTGACGAATGCATTCCAAGTGAGTACCCCAGTCAGAAAGGGTGATTACTCTCACCCTTTCTATTTCTTCTGGTGGCTGGAGAACATCGCTTATCACCCTTGGATTCAGAACAGGGTTATGTAGCGATATTATTAACTATAAGCCCATTAACTAAACACCCGTGCTATCGAGAGACGTAGAAAAATTGTAGTGGCACTGGGTTCTAATCACAAAATCATCAAAGCTGAACAAGAGACAATTGGGAAACTAGATATTCAACGTTTAACACGGAGAAACACCCAACGATGGAGAAGGCGGGAACAATGAATTGAATTGATCCGAGTTGGTCGGATGGCATGGCTCGGCCTTGCAGGCGTGGTCCCTGTTGAATTTTACCTCATATATTTTACTCATACTAAATATATTGTTCTATTTCCAGCCTGAATGTGTCCTCCATCGTATATCGGTATTTGTTAAGATACGATGAGCCAGTGTGGACAATGGTGTGACTTCCACGTAATATCTTATAGATTAGGCAGTTACATCATGACAAATGTACAATTTCAGGATAAGGTATATTATTAAAGCAGTACTAATATCCTGGTATAAGATAATTCTACAAAATAATCCACAAGCAGCTATTATCGTTTTTACTTTCAGAAAAACTGATTCGTCTATCTCAACAGAGCTTTATGACTAGATGCCCGTGCTTCACGTCGCACTTGGATTTTTAAAATGAAATTGACCAGAAAAAAGATGTTGACCAGTCAGTAACAATTCTGAACTTCGATTTTAGTAAGTCCAACGACAGAGTCTCACACAGCCTTCTTTTAAAATTTTCTTCATTTTGCATATGGAATACCATTTTATCGTGGCTCAGCTCTTCTTTAGCAGAATGTAGTCAAAGCATCCGCTTTGGATCTCGCTACCCTAAGCCTATGAATGTGTAGCGGTAAATAAACCCCCGAAATCAATAGTTCTGTAAGTCTCCGGCATTTGACTCTGACCGAATTAGTCTCAATGCACTCAACTAGCTAAAGGTGCTTGGTCACGCATACGCACCAGATCACGAGTGGGTACGCCGTGCTTCACATCTCCTACGACCATTAGACAGCTTACATTGATCACTTCTCGATATATAGATGGTCTACCAAATATATCTCCCACCCCCTTCGTTTCTGACTTTTGGTTTGAATGGGTTGTCACATTTCGGATAACAATTTTGTTTCTAGTTAAGGCGTTGTCAAAATCCAAATACTTGTGGCATCTTTCAATGTGAACAGTGAGTTTATATAAGGAAGTGTGATTGGGCCATCAATCATTCTCCTTTTCATCAATGGCGTGTACTCACTCTTTCAACACGGCAAAACTTTACTTTTTGCCGGTGATCTAAAAGTGCTTTATTTATTCTCGTCTCTTACCAAAGAAAAATGTATTTCAGTGGTAATCTAAAAAGTTATAGACAAGTTATACCAATGGACTTTATCGCAGAATCTAGCGCCAAGCGTTGACAAAAGTGGATTTATTTACTTTGACTGTGGCCT